TATAAGTAATGGAGGTTAGAATTCCTTGAATATTATTCACAAAAACGGTAAATTCTGGTGCAAAGATATCTAAATTCCTCTAAATTGTTAGTTACGGAACGCTTCGGGAATTGAAATTTTTCTGTAGCTCCTTAGTTTTTTAATCCAAATCGCTTATCATAGTCAATTTATTTGACATCACTAGCATAATTTTCCTAAATTTCTTGACATAAGAAATTTTATATCTATTATTGTTTTTCAAATTCTTTTTTGAATTAATATTGCATTGGAGACATTATTTAATACTTTTTATAAACTTTCTTATAGCATAGAAGAGCAAATCAAATTTTTTTTAATTGCTCTGAGTTTAGACTACAAGCACTACATTATTTTTTGACTTGGTTTCTGCTTTAAGTTTATCTTCCAATTTTTGATTTGTTGTTTCAACATATGTATCTCTTCAGAGTTGCTTTCAGTGATAATTGTTGTTGTTGTTGTAACCCGCCGGGACCTGGGCCCTGTTGCACCAACACTTTTCACTTTGCACTTTGCAAATCATTATGAGTTTTTCAGCATTTTTCTCTCATTGAGAACATAAAGTATTAATTTGAGAATTGAGTTATGCAAAGTTTTGAAAACACTCAAAAAAGGCAAAGCGTTGCACCAATGTACCTTTCAATCAAAAATAAAGTATGAAAAGAAAAGTGAAATATTTGACAAAAAACTGGTTTCTTTGCACTTTCTGTTGCACCAATACTTTTTACTTTGCGCTTTGCAAAAGTAAACTGCAAAACTTTACAAAAAAATTGCAAATGATTAATTCACCCTGCAAATTTTGCAAATGATTGCTTTACACACAAGAAAAGTTTCTTATGTATCTTAATAAAAGACAAAATGCGTTAAATGAAAGAAATCATTAATAAATAAATAAAAATAGTTTTAAAAAAATAGAAATAGAAAATTAGTTTAAGCAAATATTATTGCTGTTTTTAAAATAAATTTAGTTGCAGTAATTAAAGGGATATATTACCGGACAATACTTTTAAATTGTGAATTAAAGAGTTCAGTTTCTAAAAAAACTTTATATTACATTTAATATAAATATTTTATGTGAATTATTGTTCAAGCATGAACACTTATTTATTATAATGAGCAGTTTATTATTATTATAAGTCTGTTGTCGTTCAAATTCTCCGAATTATGAACTAAGAAAAAACATGGGTAAAAAGTATCCTATAATAGCTAACATTGTAACATTTTTAAATATCTAATTATCCGTATCTAATTATGATAATAAAAATATATTTCTAAAGACAATAGAAGAAAAAATCACAAGTGCCTGGACTTCCGTTTGAACCTTGTTTGAAATGTAATTAAAAATAAAATTAAAATTAGTGATAACAGACAACATATTATTTTAACGTTGATAGTAAAATTAGTTAAGTCAGTTTTAAGGTAATTTTGTATAAATTGAGAGAAATGTTCTAAATAAAATCAGTAATTTAAGCCCTTTATGCGTAGGTTTCTTTTGTATTAGGATAATAAACAGCGACAAGTAAACAATACTTTAATAACTTATAATATTTTAAAATTAAATAATAATGACAGATTTTCAACTAAATTTTTATATAAAAGCAACTTATTATATTTGTTAACTTTGTTAACTTTGTTTTTCAATATAATTGTTGTTAAAACAACTCATATTCATACTCCTTACATATAAATTCTTTTTCTATAACTTTTCAAACTGCAAAATAAATTAAAAGCATAAAAATTGTCTCTATGGATATACACAACTTCTTTATCTACGATCAAATGTCAATAAAAGAAATCATATACAAAAATATAACATATAATTGTACTAAAATTATACAAATATTAGAAATTATAATAATAAAATTTATTAAAATAAAATATTATTTTAAAAACTTTTATTTTAAATAAAAATTAAACTCATAAGTACATACTATGCATAAATCATGTACTCATAGCATCAAAATATCAAACAGACAAAAAAAAAATATACAAAAAGAAACGAAATGCTTTCAAAAACCAATACAAAATGAAAGTGATCTAATTTTTTGGTGCAACGCTTTGCGTTGCATTTTATGCAAAGACTTTGCAATGAAATTTTTATTTGCAAAGTGCAAAGTAAATCATGTTAAGTCTTTGGTGCAACGCTTTTCACTTTTACTTTGCAAAAAAAAGTCACTCATAAGTTTTGCAAAGTGCAAAGTGAAAAGTGTTGGTGCAACAGGGCCCTGGTGTACGCATAAGGTTTTCCGATTTTTTTTATGAAGAAAACACGTAATTTTAAAGGGAAATTAATTTTTTTGTTTAAAATATTGACCATTAGCTTCTACACAGAGAGAGGGTAATGAACATACAAGGTAAAGTGTCTGATCCTTATCATTATTCTCTCCGAGTTGACACACAGCCTCCACGTGGCCCCCTCTGGATAGCTACATTCATTCGGACGTAGTGAACTAATGTATGCAGCGAAATCCTCCTCATGGATATACCATATGAGTTTATGTGTCGGACTTGGAACTCACCATTTAAAAACTATTTTTAATGTAAACGAAGAGGTAACGTCGGATAAGCAAACGATCTACTGATGCCGATAAACACAAACGTTATAAGGAACATGATTTAAAAATATGCACCTGGAATGTCCGAACTCTTTACAGAGAAGGTGCATCTCTATAGCTGGTTAATGTTCTCAAGAAACACAAGGCTGACATTACCACATTAAGACATCTACTGCAGCTGCCATGCAACAAAGCACGAATTCAAAGTCGGATTTGCAGTAAGCCGAAGGTTGAGAAATTTGGTCTCAACTTTTACACATTTTCTACATTTTACCAATAAACGAAAGACTCGCCAAAATCCGTATTGACGCAAAATATTTCTACATTACTCTAATTTGTGCGCATGCCCCGACGGAAGATAAAGATAACGAGACAAAGGAAACTTTCTATGAACAGTTTGAACAAGAATATGAACACTGTCCCCATCATGACATCAAAATCGTTGTAGGAGACTTCAACGCAAAGGTCAGTAAAGAAGGTATCTTTAACGCAACTGTCGGAAAGTTCAGCTTTCATTCAAGAACTTGTGATAATTAAAATAATAATAATAATAGAAAATAATCTAATTTTATTGTTTATTATTTTTATTTAGAACTGAATTTACTGCAAAAATCAAATAACATTTGAAACTTTGGCGATATTTATATCGGATATAACTATATAAAATAAAAAAGCAACCAAATGTTTCTTATATTGTTTCACATAAGCTTTAACAATATAAATAACAACTTTTATTTTTGAAACATAAGTCAAAATTTACTTTTAATTTTTTAAGCCTACTTTTTGAACGGCGAATAATATGACCATTAAATTAACTTTTATAAATTTATTAATTACACTTACGGTTTTTCTTGATTGCTAAATTTTTTTAATTCCATACCTTTTAACCACCTCTTTCTTTTAGCAGCACGTTTGACCTTGGCTTCAAAATCGTATCTTTCTTGCATAAGAATCTCATGCAGAGAAGGCTTTTCGGAAAGAATACATGTTGAATTTTGATCTTTTTCCTAATTTTTAAAATTAAAAATAAATATAGGAAAATTTTTGATCACAAAGTCTAAGTAAATCGTAATATGTACTTACATTTAATTCAGACATCTGTACGTTATCAATCTCAATATTATTGGAACTGCAATAATTACAAAGTTGTTTTAACGCATCTACTTCTCTTTCCAACCATATATAAAGTTGATATCGCAATTGGCCTCCATCTACTTCAAATCCAGTTGCTAGAGTAGATAATTCTTCCATTAATATTTTAAGACAAGCAACAAATTTTAGTTGTTGCGCCATAATATCAATTTTATTATCATTTATACATTTATTATTATTCATATTGGTTTTAATTGTTTCTGTTTCAATATCATCTTCTTTTTTATATTCATCATTGCAAAAAGCATCAAATTTTATGTCAGATTCTGTAAATGAAACAGGAGTACTCCAATCAAAATCTAAGGTACTAACATTTTGTTCTTTTGGAGCTGATGCCAATTCCCATTCAATTATACCAGTGCTTATAAGAGTTTTTTTTTTATCATCAGTGGAAGGCTTTTCATTATTAAGAGCAGTGTCCATAATTTTTGTAGGCAATTTATTCAGTACTTCTAAAGCTAATGCTGGACATCCAGCTTTAAAATGAGCATGCGCTGTGGTAAAATATAGTTGTCTTTCAGTTGGATTTATTGAATCTTCAATATGTAACTGTTTATTATTTTCACTCGAAATATTCGAATCCGCAGCATAACTAAAGCCAGACAAAACAACATGGGAAACTTTTTGCTCTGTTGCAGATATTGCAATATTTTGTCGTACAAGTAGTGGATGCGTTCGCAAGTAAATGTAGAAATTAAATACGTTTGGGTTAGTTACAGTACTTTCTGATCTTAGCATCTCTTCTTCTTCTTTACAATAACAGTGCTTTGACCCAACACCATTCAATAATAAAGTATTTAAACTGTCCTGATATTTTTTTAGAATCCAATAAGTCATAGAACGTAAAAATGGATCAGGATGCGCTTTATCTATATCTATGTATTTGCACTCTGAATCACAACCTAAAATTTGCTCACAAAGAAGTTTGCGATACGTTGACTCCAAACTTATATCTACGTCTCCTTCAAACAAACGAGATATTACTAAAGCCAATTGAAAGTCATCAAGTTTATTTAAACAAACTTCAATAGCATCATTCAAGGAATTTGCTAACAAAAAAAATGCAACTGCATGTTCAAATCGTTGTTTTCCAAGTAAAACAAATGCGTTTTTAAGAGCTGCCTTTCGCCATCTTTCTTCAGAAAAATTATTAGCAAAAAATTTGGTCATTTTTTCGTCTCGTTTAGATCTGTATAAACCCCAAACAATTGATTTTTTTTTCATAGCTAAATAGTAAATTGCTGCATCAAGTGGATCCTGTTTTGATTGATAAGCGCATTTTGCTAATTTCTCAACACATTGTCTTAAAATATTTATATTTCTAGTCCAATATCCTACACCAAGATCTTTAAGAATTGACCATTTTAAATCGCCTTTGGTATATGAAGGTATTAAATTTAATAATTCTTCTTCACTTTCGGAATGAAATGCCCATACTATATTTGAAGTTCCTATTCCATGCTTTTGAAATTGAACACGTTGATTTAATGATAAACAACGTAAGAGATATGTATACTGTTTCATTGCTAATAAAAAACGTAAACCGCAATCATCGAGGGATTCAGTCGATTTGGTAACTGTTTCTTTTATTAAACTATTTTTGCCATTATCAGGAATCAATTTTTCCGTAAAATCAGTATTACATGTAGCTACAGTATCAGCTAATGCTAGTAAATGCATTTGATCTAATGAAGATAAGCCAGGTAAATGAGAATGTGTTAAAAGACGTGATAACAATTGACCTTGTCGCGGACCAAAATGTGAAATATTTTGTTTTTCTGGAATTGATAATTTTCTATCAAATTTTCTCTGATCATTTTCGTTTTCAAGCAACACATCTAAATTATCATCCGAATGATTCATTTCAAATAATTCATCATAATCATTCAATACATCAGAATTTAAATTTGCTTGACCTGTATTTTCTTTATCTGCATTTAGTAACACCCATAATGGCAAAGGAGGAATTGAAGTGATCTCCGCATAGTCTAGCATTAATTCTTCAGGCATCTGTAAATATTTTCTTGTTCAGACAGTATTATAAAATTTTTTGGGTGTAATAAAAAAAATATACGGAATGTAATTGATATTATAAATATAGTTTACGGTATTCAACTTAAATACTTTCTATACCAAGAAGAATTTTTCTTAGTGAAACGAAACCGAAAAAAGAGACGACAAAAGAAAAAACGTTGGTTTTTACTTCGAGTTTGATCAAGACTGATCGTTTTTTATTAAAAACTTACATTGTGCAACAGGGTTGCCAATAATACAAAAACTTTCGTTATTTTGTATTGTTACCCAACATCCCGGCCTCCTTGAAAGGACTTTCAATAGGTAAAATGGCTAGTTTGTGGATAGGTCTGCGAATGATGCCCTTTGAGGTACGTACGTCAACTACTCTGACATGCTCGTCCTTGCCTGGTATGACCTTCAGAACTCTTCCGAGTTGCCAATGTAGTGGAGGCACATTGTCTTCATGAATTAACACCATTGCATTGGGCATGATATTTGGTATTTCACAGGTCCATTTTGTGCGCATCTGTAGCTCATTTATGTATTTATGAGACCACCGCTTCCAAAATGATTGTTTCAAACCGATGATGAGGGACCACTTGTCGAGCATGTTAGTATTAGCAGATTCCGTCCGCTCCGGTAACGCCTTTAGAGAGCACCCAATCAAAAAATGGGCAGGAGTCAATGCTTCGTAGTCGCTAGGATCTGGCGAAAGTGGTGTCAATGGTCGAGAGTTGAGAATAGCTTCTATCTCGGTTGTTACTGTTGACAGCTCCTCAAATGTTAACTTAGTAGTCATCAAACTTCTATATAAGTGCCCTTTTGCAGATTTAACTGCAGCCTCCCAAAGACCGCCAAAATGAGGTGCCCTGGGAGGAATAAAGTGAAAATTAATGAATTCAGACGCGCAGTACTGAATGATAGACGATTGGGTTATTTTATTAAACAAGAATGACTTTAGTTCTGTCAATTGATTCGAAGCCCCAACAAAATTGGTTGCGTTATCGCAAAATATATCACTTGGTAAGCCTCTCCTGCCAATCATTCTTTTTAATGCTGCAATGAACGCGTCTGTTGACAAACTTGATACAACTTCGATGTGTACTGCTTTTGTTGCCATACAAATAAAAATGGCAACATAAGTTTTGTATGGAGGCTTCCCTCTTATACGTAAATACGTGTTGAATGGTCCACAAAAATCTATACCACAGCGCGCAAACGGCCGTGACGGTGTAAGACGTTCTACCGGTAAATTCCCCATCATCTGTTGCAATAGTTTTGGCTTATAATGCATGCAGTGAACACATTGTCTGACTACTCTTCGAGCAACTTCTCTGGCGTTTATAATCCAAAACTCTAAACGAATGAGTGCCACTAGTGCCTTAGGTTCAGCATGATAATTCTTACGATGCAAGTAACGAACATAACGTATGACGAATTCAGATTTGCTAGGCAGCAGGATAGGATGTTTACGTTCTTTTGCAAGATCAGCCAATTCTAATCGTCCACCAACCTTTATCAGCTTATACCCACCGGTATCTTCAATAAATGGGTTGAGGTATTTTAATGAACCTTTTGTTATAGATCCTCGATTCAATAAATAAATATCTTCAGCAAAGTACTGAGCTTGTATATTTGAAATGATGCATCGGAAGGCGTAGTCTAATTCTTCATGAGTAAGGACTTCTGTAAAGACATTGCGGTTGAACTTCTTCTTATAATGATGATACCAACGAAACAACCAAGCCAGTACACGAACAGCCGTTGTATGTGAGCTATACTTATCAATAATATCTATGACATAATTGGTTGATACAGTTACCTTGAATGCTGCTTTTCGTTTTTCCTTATTGACTTCTTCAAAATCCAAGTTGTCGTTCTTGTTTGCAGGCCACTTATACATCTCTTGACGAAGAAATGAAGGTCCTTTAAACCAAATAGAATTAGTGAGATCCTTAACAGTGCTGCCTCTTGACACAATGTCTGCTGGATTACAATTTGTGTGGACATATCTCCAATGTGAACCTGCGGTGAGGTCTTGAATCTCAGAAACTCTATTGCCTACGAAGGCAGACAGTGTGGCCGAATGCATTTTTAGCCAATGTAATACGATTTGGGAATCAGACCATAGATAGACCTCCGTATCAAACTTTTCGAAGAGCGATTTAATTTTGTTGTAAAGTCTTGCAAGTAGCAGTGCTCCACAAAGTTCTAATTTTGGAAGCGATTGTTTTTTTAGCGGAGCTACTCTAGATTTGGCTACGAATAGTTGAACCTCTATGAGGTTGGAATCATCTGTGACGCGAATGTAAATGCTGCAACCATATGCGCGAATCGATGCATCGCAGAACCCATGGAGCTGAATTGTTTTTGCTTTTGGTTTTAGACAGTACCTTGGAATGGTAATGGTGTTCAATGATGACAAATCGTGACAAAGCCTTTCCCATGCTGAATGTAAATTTTGAGGAATGGATTCGTCCCAATCCAATTTAAGCAGCCATAGCTCTTGCAATAATATTTTAGTTGATATGGTTATTGGAGCTAATAGTCCTAATATGTCGAATAGTGACGACGCAATTGATAAAATAGTTCTTTTTGTGATGCGGCTGATAGAGTTTGGTTTAACATTAAATGAAGGAATAAATACATCCTTATCTTGATCCCATTTCAGTCCCAATGTGCTGGTAATAACATCCGAACCTATATTGAGATCTTTGATCGTAGTGTCATCTCTAAAAGCTTGATGAATTGAGTGCCATTTAGCTAATTCGAAACCTCCCTGTTTTAGAAGCTCTTCCAATTCGTATTTTATTTGATGTAACTCAGAAAGAGAATCTGCACCATGCAATAAGTCATCAACATAAAACGAAGATTTGATTACTTCAGCTGCAATCTTGAATTGATCCACATATTGATGCGCTATATACAATAGGCAACGAATGGCAAGGTACGGTGCAGCAGCTGTTCCATATGTAACTGTGTTGAGCTGGAAAGTACGAATATTGGTAGATGGTGAACTTCTCCAAAGAATGTACTGAAATTTTCTATCTTCAGGATCAATCAGAATTTGCCTATACATCTTCACTATGTCAGCAGTAAGAGCGAATCGAAATAAGCGAAAACGTAACAAGAGGATGAACAATTCAGTTTGCAGAGTAGGTCCAATCATCAAAATATCATTGAGAGATTTCTGAGAAGAGGTTCGACATGATGCGTCGAATACGACTCTTAATTTCGTCGAGGTGCTGGTTGGCTTCAATACGCAATGATGCGGAATGTAATAATGAGGTTCATCAATATTTGGATCTTTTACCTCAATCATGTGACCAAGGTTTTGATATTCTTCCATAAAGGCAACATATTGCGTTTTGAGCTCAGGCGACCGTGACAATCGATTTTCTTGTGCAATAAATCTGCGCAACGCTGTACCGTATGAACTGCCTAAAAACTGAGAACTATCCTTAAATGGCAACCTTACCATAACTCTACCTGCATCTGTTCTGCATACTGTTTCTGAAAACAAATGATCACAAACTTGTTGTTCACTAGTCCAAGCATGTGGAGTGATCGAGACTTCTTCTAGCTTCCATAAACGTTCTAACTTTTCCTCGACAGAGTCAATTGATGAAAGGAGACAAGTTGAATTATTAACGCATTGTGAAACATCATATCTACCTGAAACAATCCAGCCCAAAATAGTTTTCTGTAACGTTGGTAATCCTAATTCAAGTTTAATCTGGCCTACTGACAGGACACTAAAAAAGCTTTCAGTGCCAAGCAGTAAATCAATACGGGTTGATTTGTAAAATTGTTCGTCAGCAAGGTTAATATTTGGTGATACGTTCCAAGTTGAGATGTTTATTTCAGAATCTGGTTGATACGCAATATGTGATGTTATACAGAATGTCAATGGAAGTTGAAAAGCCGTGAATCGAGATTTGATAGTAGTTGATACCTTTGATGTAATTCTTGTCGATGAATTTCCGATGCTGTTAATTTCAATATTATGCTTGGCCATGGGTATGCGAAGTTTTTGAGCGAAATCATTAGTGATGAAGTTCACCTGTGAACACGAATCTAGTAACGCCCTACCCAATTGATAGCATCCAGATGCATCCTGTATTAGAACTAGCGCTGTAGCTAAGATGACATTACTTGTCGATAACTTCTCTAAATGTGTATGCGTCACAGCATCTCTAGAAGTAGTAGCTACAGCTGACACCATTGATGACTGTGGAGTAGGATGAACTGAGTTGAAAGGTGTTGTAGCATTGAAGGTGTTGCTACGATGTAACAAGGTGTGATGTTGATCTGAACAAATCTTACATCTATAAGTTGATGGACAGTTAGAACGTTGATGTCCTTTTGACAAACAATTGATGCACAGTGTGAATCGCTTTACAGTGTCAAAACGTTGTGCAGTTGATAAACTTTTAAACCGTTCACAGCCATTGAGCTTGTGATTCGCACTTGAACAAAATATACAAGAAGATTTAGTGCAAGAAAAAGCATAATCTTTGTGAGATTTTTTTATTTTTGACCATTTATCATTGGTGTGCGCATCTGATACACAAGGAGACGTTTTATCCAGAGATTGAAGATATTGACAATGTCTCTCTAAAACGGCACTACAATCGTTCCAACATGGCAACCTTTTGAAATCCAACGATTCCTTCCACTTTCTTCTCGTCCCTTCGTCACACTTTTGCATCACAATATGAATCAACATTGCTTGTGCAATGTCACGATCCGAACCCAATGATAGCAGTGAACTATAAATTGCTGACGCAGTATCGATTAAACTTCGCAATTTATCACCTTCCGGTTTGGAAGTACCAGGAAGATCGAAAAGGGCTGTTACGTTTTCCATAAAAATAAGTGTTGGATTGTCATATCTCTCCTTCAATCTATTTAAAGCCTTTGAATAATTTTCATTTGTGACTTGAAACGCGTTGACCGTTTCTAACGCTGGGCCATGCAGACAAGTCAGCAAA